TCCCCAGGACAGGAATGGAGGCTGGTCCTCCCGGCTCCCCAGGACAGGAATGGAGGCTGGTCCTCCCGGCTCCCCAGGACAGGAATGGAGGCTGGGCGGGGCCGAGGGGGGGTTCCCATCAACCCTCGCCAGGGGCCCTCCACTTCCAGGGTCCCTCCGAGCCTGGGGGCTGACGCAGGTGGGGCAGAGGGGGCAGGCAGGGGTAGGGACAGGAGGAGGGGCACGCACAGGTCAAAGGGGGGGGCCAAGCGAGCCAGAGTGGAGGACGGCACCAGTCCCCCCGGTCACTGCAAAGCTCAACAGCAATACTGAGGATGGTATGGGTCCAGTGGTTTACTGCTTCGGAGAACTTTATATCCACTGTGTCCCTTGAGCCCTTCAGTAGTTCCCGGAGGAGGTGAGTGATAGCAAGCCCATTCTAAAGCCAGGAAAACTGGGGAAATGACTTGCTCAAGGATATACTGTAAGTTCGGTGGCAGTGGGGGGTGGGGCAGAGACCCTCCCTCCTCCCGCCCTCCGAAGCCAAGGGGACACTCACCTGCGGGATCCAGCAGAGGCCCGTCTACTGCCCGGCAGGGACATGGCCATGAGGCTGCGGGTCCGGGTGAGGGGCGGGATGGTTGGTGTCCCCGGGGCTGAGGAGAGAGGGCGCGTTGGGGGTGCCGCGGGGAGGGCCGGCCCAGGCCATGTCATCCTCTCGTTAGGGCCGCTGCCTGGCATGGCTCGTCCTCTTACCCTTTAGCAGGACACCCCAGGACCGAGCGAGGGCCCGGTAGGCCAGGCGCTAGCCACAGCTGCCTCCACCAACGAAGTTAGCACACTCCTGCCCCCTGACTTAAAATCTCCATCGTCAGGGCTTCAAGGGCAGCCAGAAATCATAGATCCAACCCCGGGTTCTCCAGATGACTGAACGTGGAGAGAGAGCTTGAAGGCCTTGCCCAAGGTCACAAGGGCATCGGGGCAGGGCCTCCTGACCCCCAGCGCAGCACCAAGTCCTCTACGCTATAAGCCAGGCCCCCCGATCCCTGACTCGGACCCCACCCCGCGCTGGACAATCCTCCCTCCTCGGTGGGGGCTGCAGGCTGGAGGACTCCTGGAGCAGGACCAGGAACCCCAAATTAGGCTGGGCTAGTCTCGACGTCACCTTCCCAGAGCGCCCGTTGGCATGTGGCTTGGGGCTTCCTGTCTATAGGGGAGACAAGACAGACCAACATACCAGCACATGTGTAGAAAGACATATGGATACACACGAATGTGAAAAGGTACTACGTCCCTGCCATTCCAAGACAGGCCGCACCCGTCTCGGGGAGCATGCTGGGGATCTGCCCACGATGCAGGACATGCAGCCGGGCCCTCCCGCATGCATGCGGCACACAGGCATGCCTGCACCCATCCATGCAAACATGCATGCTGACTTCGGCATGTGTCAGGACCTCAGAGCACAGGCTCAAAGCAGATAAGGAAGGGGGCAAATGGGTACAGAAGCCCTCCTCTGGGGGCGGGGTGGGTGGGCTGGAAGGAGTAGGAAGTGACCAGGCCTGTAGAGACCCATCCTTGGCAGTCTTGACAAGCAGGTAGAGGCTTAGGCTCCAAGGGCAGCCCTACAGGGGTTGAAGGAGGGGAGAAGCCCCCTGTTGGGCTGGGCGTTGGCTGCTGTAGGAAGGAGTCCTGTCCTGGGCGTCATCCCAGAGACGGAGGGGCCTGGGCTCTTTGCAGCCACGAGTCCTGTGCCAGCCCCAGAGACCCCTGTTCCCTCCTTCCATGCTCAGAGCAGGGACTAAGGACAGAAGCCTGGGTTACTGGAGACGTGGCCAAGGACACCGTGCCCCGACCTTCCCCCATGCTGGAGAGAAGTGGTCACCGAGCCCCACTGCACGCAGACCCCGGGCCAAGCACATTACGTACAGTGCACCATTGGCTCCTCCCAAAAACCCTGAGGAAGTGCTGTGATTAGTCCCCTTACAGATGAGGAACCTGAGCCTCTGAGAGGGAGGCACGCGCCCCAGTCACACCCCCAGCGTGTGGTTGGGCCAACAGGGGAACCAGACCAACACCAAGTGCCCAGGGGCTGGGCCTCAAACTCTGGAGTCCCCTGGCTGGGCGCCACCCCTTCCCATGTCAGGGCCTCTGGGGAGCCTGCTCATCTTGCCCAGTGGCGGGGCTGCCTCCTGAGGGGACAAAGGCACTGCTCAGGTGGCCTGTTTCCTGGCTGTGACACCGAGCGGAGCCTGTGCCCCTGGAGGGCCCGGACACAGCCGGCATTGTCTGCCCGGAGGTATCGGGTGCCGGGCCCAAGAGCTGCCGACACCAGGCCTGTGACCTGAGTGGCTCGCCCCAGCTCAGGGAGGTGTCCCACCCATTGTGCCCCGGTCCCGCAGGCACAGTCAGGCCAGCCCCTGGAGGAGGAACCATAGGACCACAGTGCTCCCCGCACTTGTCAGGAAGGCCACCAGGGGCTCCACGCCTCCTGGCATGGCTTGGGGGGCCCAAAGGGGCGATGTGTTATCACATTTATCATATTTGGGCCTGAGGTGGCTGAGCTGCAGGGCCAGACAGACCCTGGCTTCTAGTCCCAGGCAGCCTGGCTTCCCTGGCAGCCTCCTCCCTTCCCTTCTTGCTTTTGGGAGGTTGCACTGAGGGGGCGGTGCCTGCAGGAGGACAGCCTGGCAGAGGCAGGACTCAGGTCAGAGGACCGGCCTTCACTCTTCTGAGCCAGCTTGGGCCAGGGCTGCTACGGAGCCTGGAAACTCCAGGTGGAGTCCCAGGCCTCTGTACGGGGAGGCAGGCAACATGCCCGGTTTGCCTTGGAGCCGAGTGTGGCCTCAGTACAATGAGGGCTTTGTCTCAGATGTCCCTGCTCCTACCTCGCTTGACAACCCCACACCTCCCTCCTCTTGTGCTCCCTCTTCCTTCCTCCCTGGCCCGGGGGGTGGTGAGGGGGGGACAGGGGATAGCGTTTGTACCTGGATGGACCCAATGGTCTCCTGGGAGGCCAGACTGGCCATTCCTCCGGGACAGAGATGGGAGTGGCATTTCCCCTGCTGGGATGGGACTTTGCAGGCAGGGGTCCCTCATGGGAGGGCAGAAGCCACCCAGGCCCAAAGGGAGCCACCTCTCCAGGATCCTACTCAGAAGGCCGCGCGTGCTCTCTCCAGTCCTTCCTCCACTTCCGGGCCCCAGAGAGGAGGCAGGTTGCCATGGCATAGGTCGCCAGGCCGCCTGCCTGCTCCCCTGGATCCTGCAGCCCTGTGCCCAGGCCGCCAGAGGCTGCTGCTTGGAAGGGAAAGGAAGGCGTACCTTGGGGAGCTGGGCTCAGAGTCTCTTATCACCTCAACACCAGAGTAAAGCCAGCCCCTTCCTCCAGCCTCCCTCCACTTCCCCATCCTGCCCGCACCATGACAACGCTGCTGCACGCCCCCTTTGATCAGCCCCTCACACACGCGGCAGGTTCCCGAAGGCCTACAGTGGGGGTCCAGGGGATACAGCGGGATCCAGGGAACAGGAGACAGAAGGATGCAGAAATAGGGTCAAACAGATCTGGGCTCAAATCCCAGCTCTGTCACCCTCCAGGTGCATGCCTTCGGCAGGTCACGCCACTTCTCTGCATCTCAGCTTACTCATCTGTGACAGAATGCACCTCGTGGGCTACTGTGGCAGGATAATGCATGTCTGGGGCTCAGCCCAGCACACAACAAAACACACACTCAAAAGCGGGAATCGCCAGTATCTTGGAAGCAGATCATTGCAACACGATGTGAGCTTCAAAACAGAAACACATTCAAGGCATCATGTGACCTCTTGGGGGTCAGAGAAAGCTTCTCCAAAAAGAAATTTACACTGGGTCTTGAAGGATGAATAGGAGTTCGTCAGTCGGAGAAAGCAAGTGGGAAGGAAGGAGAAGCTGGGCAAAGGCAGTGAGTAGTTCAACGGCATGACAGCCGAGGAGACCAGGGCGCCTGGTGAGATCAGAGGCATGGTGGAGGTGAGGCTGCAGGACGAGGCAGCACCGGGCCACACAGTGCCACCTAAGGCAGGATCCTGTGGTCCTGTGGGCAACAGGAAGCCAGGAAGGGCCTTGGAAGGGGCGGGGGGGACATGATCAGACTTGCAGTTCAGAAAGCCCCTGGGTAGGGGGCCTTTGTGGAGTGTGGCTAGGCAGAGTACGGGCAGGGAGACCAGGTAGATTATGGAGACCTCCCAGGTGAGACACGAGAAGAGCCCGGGTCAGGGCGGCAGCAGAAGCAGCGGAAGCCATGAACCTCCAGATGCAACAGGGGCCCCCGATTATATAAAAATTGGGCACAATGCTTGATTCTGGCATTCAAGGCCCGCTCCTCTATACCCCTGCCCCCGTGCTCTCAGCGGCCCCCCAGAAAGGCCCCGTCAGTCACTCCCGCAGCTCCACACGGGCTGTCGGTCCAGCCTGCAGCCCGCTCCCTGCCCTGTCCTCATGCACACATCACGCGCCTTCTGCAAGCCTCTGCCCCACGTGCCTTCTCCCCTGGACTTCTCCCATCACTCACGGTCGTGACCACTCAGCATGCCATGCCTTGGTTCGAATCTCAGGGAACACCACCCTCTGGGAGAGTTCATAAAAATAAACACAATCAACACACAACTGTTACTGACACAATGGTCTAAGCAGGCACGTCTGGGAGGCCAGGAGTTGGATTAGATGGTCTCTAGGACACTTCTGGATCCAACCTTCTCTGATTCTGGGCTGTTAATGAAATGATGGACTTCCAACGAATGCTTTCTTCTCCTTCCGTTACTAGGGCTCCTGGGTTTCAGCTTCCCCCCTGCAACATGAGAAAGCTGAATTCTTCAAAGACTCAGTGGCCTTTTACTCAATCAGCATGTCATGCGGGAGAAACCAGGCACTTGCATTAATCTAATATTCTAGCTAATTGAAAGTCCCCGTATGTACTAGAAATGATTTTTTTGCAAAGACTCGGCCATCAGTAAAAGAAGAAAGCTATCCTGAAATCCAAGGGAACAGAACAATCTGTGTCTCATGACTCAAGCCTCTGACAGCTGTGGAAAGCAGAGCCTTGCGATCCACAGAACAGAACTTGGGGGGGGGGTCCTCTCTCTGCCAAGGCAACACGAGAAGGCAGAACATTCCTCCTGGCAAACAGCAGCGCGCCTGGTGCCCCTCGAATGTCAAAGCTGGGAGAAGCAGGAGGTGGAAGCCTGGCCTGGGTCAGTGCCAGGAGCTGTGGTCTGTGTCTCAGAGGATTAGTGCTCCTGGGGCTCTCCACAGCCGAGCTCAGTAAACCCTCCACTGGCTTCGTGACCTCGCCGGCCCCTGCGGTTGGCCGCACCCTCAGAGAAACGGAGGACCTTTCTTCCCGAACTTGGGAAGGGGGCGGCGGTGGCACTTCTCCAGCTCGCTGCCTGTGCCCTGCACAAGGTGCCCTCGGCGCTGGACCAGGAGCTGGGAGCAGGACAGAGAGCCGCCGGGGGGCTGACCGAGGCCAGCTGGACCCGGCTGAGGGCTGCGAAGGCCACTCCACAGGGGGCCTTCAGGGATTAGACTCGGATTCCCGACCTTGGAGAGCATGGAGCCCCAAGCCCCGGGGGCTGCAAACCACCCAGAGAATTTGCCTCTGGGGCTGTGGGGGTGG